ATCTGAATCTCTCAGATTAGGACCCCACCCTTATGACCTCATTTAATCTTAATTATCTACTAAAGTCCCTATCTCCAAATACAGTCTCATTGGAGGTTAGGGCTTCAGCATATGAATTTGGACAGAGGGTGGGAAAGGGGGGAATATAATTAGGTCCTCAGCAGTTGCTAAACGTTTTTGTGCATTCAAAATTCTCATTGCTTAAGGAGAAAATACACAGTCTTGACATTATTGTCTACGGGGAATCTTTTAAAGTACTAAAACTCTTAGAATAAATTAACTTTCAGTTCTTATTAAAATACTGAAATATTTTATGTGTTTTCCTTCAATTTAAAAGATCATGTGACCTATGGTTAGTAATAACCATAGCACTTACCAGCATGCCCTGCAATAATAGAGTCTTTTTTTTTCTTTTTTCTTTTGTTTGAGACAGAGTCTTTTCTTTTTTTTATTTTTTGAGACAGAGTCTTACTCTGTCTCCCTGGGTAGAATGCAGTTGTATCATCACCGCTCACTGAAACCTCAAACTCCTAGGCTCAAGCCATCCTCCTGTCTCAGCCTCCCAAGTAGCTGGGACTATACGCATGCACCACCACACCTGGCTAATTTTTCTATTTTTAGTAGAGACAAGGTCTTGCTCTTGCTCAGGCTGGTCTCAAACTCTTGAGATTAAGCAATCATCTTGCCTCCCAGAGTGCTAGGATTACAGGCCGGAGCCGCCACACCCGGCCCACAGTGTTTGCTATTTCAACATTGTTTGCCTATTTGCTGTATGACTGTTTAAAGACAGTTGTTTAAAGAACGCACTGCATTAGGATCTGTACTTCCTAGTAGAAAAGAGAAGTGGAACTCAATAAAAGTTTGTTGGATGAAGAAATATTCTTCCTTCAGAAGATTATTTGGGGTAAAACTAATTATTATTATAATAATGTCTGGCCCTGTTGTGATTTATAGCACAGCCTTAAAAACTACCTTTAACTTTCTGAATTGAAATTATGATGATGACAAAGGTGAGAATAATAGCTAATATTTACTAAGTATTTCCTAAGTGCCAAAATCTGTTCTACCTTAAGTCTAATTATTCTTTTGATCCTCACAGTAAATCTATGAGGAAGAAGGTATTATTTCTGTGGCGAAGTTTTTACTTACAGCTTGCTGTGACAGAACTAAAGCATAGGGAGGTTAAATAATTTTCCCAAGACTATGCGGTTATGGGTGAATAAATCAGGAAGTAGTTCCCAATGAGTCCAGAAAGTAGTTATTAAGACTGGATATGTACAAGTTGTGAAAGGTACTATGGAGAGTGCAAAAAAAAAAAAGAAAAAAAAATTGCTACACATAGCAATAGGCAAGAAAAAGAAACGTGGAAGAATCACATTACTTGACTTCGAATTATACTACAGATCTGTAGTAACCAAAACAGCATGGCACTGGCATAAAAACAGACACGTAGACCAATGGAACAGAATAGAGAACCCAGAAATAAATGCACACATTTATAGTGAACTTATCTTCGACAAAGGTGCCAAGAACATACAGTGGGGAAAAGAAAGTCTCTTCAATAAATGGTGCTGGGAAAACTGGATATCCATACTCAGGAAAATGAAACTAGACCTTTCTCATCATATACAAAAATCAACTCAAAATGGATTAAAGACTTAAATGTAAGACATGAAACTGAAACTGCTAGAAGAAAAAAATTGGAGAAATACTTGAGAACATTGGTCTAGGCAAAGAGTTATTGGGTAAGACCTCAAAAGCATAGGCAACAAAAGCAAAAATAGACAAATGGGACTGCATCAAGCTAAAAAAGCTGCTTTACAACAGAGGAAACAATCAACAGAGTGAAGAGACAACCTACAGAATATGAGAAAAATATTTGCAAACTATCCAACAAGTGATTAATGACCAGAATATATAAGAAACTCAAATGACTCAGTAGCAAAAAATAAATAAATAAATCCAGTTTTAAAAATGGGCAAATGATCTGAATAGACATTTCTCAAGAGTATTGGGGAAGAAAGCAAAAGAAGGACTTTAAGGCTAAGTAGGACTTTGGAAATCAGAGGAGTTTAAATTTAATGAAGAAATAGAATCACAAATAATCATGAACAAAAAAAAGCCTGATGAGAACATTAAGAAAAATTCATGAATTCTTGTTTCACAAATTTATCTTACCAGTTTAATATTTTATAAATATCTTTATTTCTTATTTTGTCTTGTTGGCTTCTGGACCTTTTATAGGAAAGGAATATATTGTGTTCATAAATTTCCTCGGACAATCTGAAATTTTCCTCAAAATAGGATATAAAACTCAAAAGACTATGTAGTTTCAAGGCCAATGTTAAGAAATAGATTTATCATATTGTATATCTACGGGCCTCAGGGTACATATCTGTTTCCTTTTTCTGCCTATAACCATCACACATTGTTGGTAGGTGTACGAATTGGTATGACCTCCACAAAGGACAGAATGACAATATCTGTCAACATTTTCAATGTATATTCCCTTTGATTCAGCTATTCTACATCTTCGCAGACATGCTCACACATCTGCATGGAGGTTTATGATAGTACAGTGATGGCGCTCAAGATCTGAATTAGTAAAATACTAGAGATGACTTAGATAACCTATCAGTAGATAACTGGTTATATAAAATAAGGTACGTAGATGGTGAAATACTACATAGCCATTAAAAAGATTGTTAGATTCATGTTTCATGTGTTGATATGGAAAGATCTCTAAAATATATTTAAGTGAAAAACAAATGCACAGTAATAGGTATACTAGGTACAGTATGCATGGTCTAAATTACACATTTGTCAAAAAGATGGAAGTGGAATATATTAATAAGAGGGTCTAAGGTTAGGGGAAATGGTCGTTTTACCTTTTAATATTTTGTGCTGTTTAAACTTTGGCAAAATCTGTCACTGGAAATCCACCTTTTTAAATGAGTTAAAAAGTATAGTAGTATTAAATGCCTGCCATACAGAAAATCCGAAAGGTATTAATTATGTGCATGAATATGTGTAATCAAGGCATCAGAATTATGTTCTCCATCTGTTAACTTTTAAGGTGTGTTCTAAGAGAGTCTGTTTTTTTTCAGTCATTAAGTAAATATTTATTGAGCACATACTATGTGCTTTTTCTTGAAGTAAATATTTAACTTGAGCCTGAGAATTTCTTTAGAAAAATGGGCTTTTAAAATCGAGAGGAACCTTAAAAACCAGTGTCCTCATTTTAGGCAAGAGGAAACTGAAATCCAAATGGACGTGTGTGGGGTCTCAGCACGTGTTGGCAAAGCTGCTGGGAGAACTGATCCCAGTTTTCTCCACACACCACCTTGATTGATGTCAGAGGGACAAACTCATCTTGAATTTGTCCTCATCCTCCTTGACTAAAGTCAAGTCAATTCAGATTCCTTCCAGTAGATTTGTCTCCTCACGTGACTAACTTTGGAAAGACTTAATGGTGTCAGAAATGCAGAGTCTTTAATATTAAACATGTAGAGGAAACTGAAATGTTCTGAATTTCTGTTTTTTTCTCTTAAAAAGTAACATTTTAATTTCTATAGCATGCAGTCTCCTCAAGATTTACACTCTTAAGTTTTGTTTGGGTGCTTGCCTACAGTGTTAATAACCCGTCAATGTTTTTAGTTATCAGACTGAAGGAAGCATCATATTAAAGAAAATAGCTTTGTGGGGCATGTTTTCCCCTAAATGAGGAAGGAACCTGTATTATACAAAGAAGAAAAGAAATATCCCATTGTTGAACAATATTTCGTTCAGCTTTTGATGTGGTTGAGTCTTAACCAACTAGATGGTGAGCTCCTCAGAGACAAGGTCACCTGCTTGTTAAGTCCCTCCTCTGTCTTAGCTCTGCAGTTCCCAACCCCCTGGGCCCCAGACTGGTACCGGCCCATGGCCTGTTAGGAACCGGGCCGCACAGCATGAGGTGAGCAGCAGGTGAGCCAGAGAAACTTCATCTGAATTTACAGCCGCTCCCCATCGCTCACATCGCTGCCTGAGCTCTGCCTCCTGTCAGATCAGCAGAGGCATTAGATTCTCATAGGGGAGCAAACCCCACTGTAAACTGCGCATGTGAGGTTGAGACTCCTTATAAGAATCTAATGCCTGGTGATCTGAGGTGGAGCTGAGGTGGTGATGCTAGCGCTGGGGAGTGGCTGCAGATACAGATTATCATTAGCAGAGAGGTTTGACTGCACAATAAATGTAATGTGCTTGAATCATCCTGAAAACGCCCCTTCTCCTGCCCTCCCTCACCCATGGAAAAATTGTCTTCCATGAAACTGGTCCCTGGTGCCAAAAAGGTTGGGGACTACTGCCTTAGCTGAATCAGTGTGATATACTTGCGAGTCACTTAATACATCATTTATCAGCTAATTATTTTCTCCCAAATCCTTTTAATACCTACAGAGAACCAATGCTATATCGAAAGACATGTAGTCATAGACTGGAAGATATTACATTGTTTAAAAAGAGAGAGACCGACGGTATTATTGATTTTGAGGGCATTATATCAATATGAGGATTGAGACCAGAGCATGTAATTTATGCCTTATTCTGGTGATCCCTAAGTGCAGCCCCTCAACCGAATCCAAACCTCACAGATCAAATCCCTTTATTAAAAGGATTTGTTCTGTAAAATTTGGATTCAGTCAAAAGGCCACTAAAGCATCCAGAAGGCCACGTGTGGCCCCAAGGCCGCAGGTTCCCCACCCCAAACCAGAGTGCTATATGGGTTCCCAAAGAGTAGAATTCAGTGTATCTCCTACAACTGCATTGTTAGCATATTCACTTATGCTAAAAATTAACAGTAGTACTTTCTTCCTGGAAATTCGAGGAAAGCAAAGGCCATGCTTGGTTAATGTAAAACCAAAGAACCTATATTTGTTAAATGTGGACCACTTAACACAGCCCTAACTATTCACATCTTAACCTGCCTGTGTTTGATTTTCTCCTTTTTCTCCTCCCTAAAGCTGCAAGAGAAATAGTCTGGTTAGAAAGAGAAGAGCGTGCCCGGCAGCACTATGAAAAGCACCTGGAAGAGCGAAAGAAGAGGTTGGAGGAGCAGAGGCTGAAGGAGGAGCGGAGGAGGGCGGCCGTGGAGGAGAAGCGGAGGCAGAGACTCGAGGAGGACAAGGTGAGCCACCCTCCGCGAAGGGATGGGGCGCTCCTCCTTGGGAAATACAGCAGACTTCCTGTGAGACTGCCCATTCAGATGCCAGGTGCAGAGCAGAACGGTTTCAGAGTCATCGGCTTTACAGATGCCACCATTTCTAGGGAGCTTGGAGTACAGGAGTCAGGTAGACAGTGGGCTGATGATGATTATTGCCACAGAAACTTTAGAAGTCCAGCTCTCTGGTCTAAACCTGTGACTTACTTATTAACGTTCAGTTCGTCTATTCCGAAGTATTAAGACCACTGCAAACAATTGGGTTTCTGTAGGGCTTTACCATTTGCAAACATTTTCACATAGATTATCTCCTGTAACCCTTACTCAACTCTTGAGTATTACTAATATATATTAGTTTTTGCAAAAATGGAAGTTTAGAATCAGAACAGGTAAGTTACACAAGGTCCTATAACTCAATAAGTCATCAGGTCAGGATTACCCACATCTTCAGATTCTGAACTTTATTTTTTAATTAAATATGGTACCATATGTGTTCAGCGTCAGTTTAAGCTAAGACCTGTGCTACAGTGCTTGTGTATGTGGATGAAAGCATCACACTCCAGTAGTAAGGTCATTTATTTGAGTGCCTATTGTACACGCAGGGTTTTATGAACTGGGACCTAATGATTTCAATAACCCTCTCAGACTGATATTCCCACCTTAAGATAAGATGTAGAAGTTAGGAAATAGATTTAGCAATAGTGGGGTGGAAATTTAAGTAGTACTCCTCACTCCACTCTGCCTTAAGTTGAAGACATTTCTAACAGCCAGATTAAATCTGATCATCAGCTCCTGTCTTCCATTTAAGGAACGCCATGAAGCTGTCGTGCGGCGTACGATGGAAAGGAGCCAGAAGCCAAGGCAGAAGCATAACCGGTGGTCCTGGGGAGGCTCTCTCCATGGGAGCCCCGGCATCCACAGCGCAGGTAAATAGATAGCAACCGCTTTCAAAATCAGTCTTTTTTTTTTTTCCTGGAAGCAAAATGCGTTTCCCTTCTTTTTTCTAAATCTGTGTTTGCAAAACAAAAATCTTGCCAAAATTATTAAAATACAATTAAGTGATGCTTCTACCATTTGAGGATAAGAGGGTGATGGAGGTGAGAAGATAAGGTTCTCGCTTTCCTTTAACACAGGCCGCTTTTCTCACGTGTTACAAATTCCTTAAAGAGAGAAATCTATGCGATATTTCTAAATAAACATGCTAGCTTCAACACTATGTTATTGTAGTCATTCATTTGCATAAGAGTTTCAAGATTATGGAATAAGTTAACCAGTTTTATCTTTTTCTGCAGAAGAATCAGTTATATTGACTGATCAAAATCAATACTATGAGCTTATATATCCTGAACCTAAAGTATTTGCAACACTAATGCTCTGTAAGAAAATGTGCAGGTTTATTAAACTAGAAATAGTGGCAGATGTCTGAGCTATTTCTTTCTTGAGTGGACGTAAAAATCATACTGAAATTTGGACTTACAGGAAGGTTTTATTTTTGTACTGTAAATTCAATACATCTTGAATTTTATGTAGTGTGTCAGTTCTTTTTCATTTGTGTGAGTCTAGTAACTTTTTTTTAAAATTTGCTTTGAAAAATCATTGTCTTACATTCTGTCCCCAGGTGGTTTTGTTGAATCATCATTCACCTTTCTCGATTTAGCAGGCCTGGACCACCACTGCACAACTTTTGGTGGTACTAGAAAATCTGGTACAGACATCCCTGTGATTGCTGATTGCCTGACCTGTAGCTAGCACCTCAGACCTAGGGCCAGTTCATCAATAGCTGAACCATGACCACCTTAGTCATAATGCATGCTTAATATCCTGTTGCATAGACCTAGATCTGAGATTGGCACAGTGTTTCTTAAGTGTGATAATATGATTCAGATGACTTAAAGGTATTGAAATAAAGTAATTACATGCGGCACATTTGCTTTCTCTTTAAATGATCATTTTGGATAAAACCTTTAAAAAAATGTGTTTTAGCTAAAAAACTACCTGGGATCAAAGTACATCCAGTTTAGCCCCCACGCCCCACCCCAATCAATACCACTGTAGCCACTTTTAGTTTTAACCTGAATAACTATGAATTTTTATTTGTTTGCTCTGCTCTCTTTCATGCCTAACATTCCATATATCTTTTATAACCCCTTTATTTAAAAAAAAAAAAAAAATCTGAAGAATATCACCACAACTTACTTTCCTGTGACACTGAACCAAATTTGAAAGTTTTTTTTCCCCCCTTGGCTGTTCACAACCCAATGGTAGTTAGTGGGACCCATATCAAATCTGTGATCATTTAAGTGTGATGTTTCATCGTAGGGATAGTTCGTGTATGCATTGTGTGCAGAAAAGCTGTCAGGATATATATTTTTAAAAACATTTTTTTCTTTAGCTTCATGCTTTATATGTATATGACAGAAATATACTCTGTTATAGATTGCCAGACATTTTTGAAGGGAGATAAAGCTGCATAGCCTTAATTCTTTGCTTCCACACTCAGAGTTTTAATATGTGACCTTTATTACTACCACTCAGAACAAGAGAAACCAGTGTTGTATTTGCAAGCTGTTGGACAAAATCCATTTTAATAATATCTGTGAATTAGAGCAAATTGCTTCTATGCTAGAACAGAGAAGTCTGTCTGAAAATAATTAGGATTACTTTCAGACAGACTTAATTAGAACTTTCCCAAAGATCAGAAAATGATCTGCTGTGATCTTGAGAGCAGCAACCAAGTCTCATTCATTTTGAGTATAACAATACGTGCTGCATGATGGGTATTCAGTCAGTGTTTGCTGACCAGCAGATCCTACATATGGTCTATGTTAAATTAATGTCCAACTGCTAGCTAATATCAAGTACCACTGGTCTGTAAAAATACTTTTAAAACATATTCTTCATAAATCCTTTTATAAATTTTTTTTGTTCAGTGAAAAAAGAAATTAATAAAAATTGTTTCATATATTAAGTAATAGAACAAATTCATGGTATACTTCCATAATTTTGACCATCCACGGTAGATTTAGAGGTTTTACTATTCATGGTATTTTTAGCATGGGAAGGCCTAGTCTAGCTCATTTTCCACTTTACTCTGAAACAGAACTAAGTCTTTTTTAATAACCTATTGAGAATCTGCCTGAGGATAGGCCTCTGTGTGGACACAGTTTTCCCCAACTGAAGCTTAACATGTAGAGCAATATCAGAAAATGTATTACTATAAAATTACTTGAAAATCACATTTGTTATTCCTCCTTGTGTTCTCTCCTCACATTTCGCATTAAGGTGCATCTTTTGATGATTTGCCCTAAATCTTTTCCTTATGTTCGGATTGCCCTGAGAGCCCCTCAGTTAAGTGTAAATGTGAGTCACAGAAAAGTGTGCTTTTTTTTTTCCAATAATAAAATTGCTTTGACCATAAAAATGAATCCCAGTAGACGATAGAAATGTCTGATCTTATAGAAGACTTGCATATCACCCTTGTGCCATAAATAATAGTCAGAAATGTTATTCCATGGGGAAAGTTCACTGCAAAATTTTTACTGCCAAGGTTAGTTAGACCAATGGAAACTGGGTTTTGAAAGCATCTACCACAAGGAATATTTTGCTTTAGTTTTAGAAGCAGTTAACAATAGAAAATGAAACAAAATACAGCAAAATCCCTTTAACTTTGACTATTATAGATCAGAGCATACACCTGCATCTTAGATAAATAATAATGATATTTTTATACATTTATTATATGTAGTTTTATTCAGGGAACGTGCTATGTGCTGATGAGCATGATTCCATTGTACCAACAGCAAACTGCTGTTTTTTGCCTTTTATATGGTTATTTCCCTTCTGATTTGAACTTTAAGAATTCTAAAATTAGAATTTTTGACTACAGGATGACTGCGGGATGAGCAATAATATTGTTCATGCACTTAGAATTCTGATTTTATTTTGTCAGTTTTATTGGGCAAGTTTGTGTACTGACTCTATATTTGTAGTCACGCTAAATTCATAGGCACAGAGATATGGTTATTAGTAGACTTTAAAAAAAAAAAAGATCGCAGTGGCCATCCTTTCCACATTTAGAATGTTTCTTTTTCTTTTCTTTTTTTTTATTCTTCTATAATGAACTTTAATGCCCTCAATAAAATGACACTGCAAGCAAAGTAGCAGCAACTACACAGAACCTGTTGTTCTTTGTACGCCAGTGTTTGCTTTCTGTCTTACCAGCGCTTACCCCATTGTTCCTGGTTTTAGAAATCATCAAGCCATTCACTTTCATGGTCCTCTTTTGCTTGCACTATTTTAAAAGGCCTTCAGTGGCCTGCCTTCTGTCTTCATACACTTGTTGTATTATAACAGTATCCTTGAATTTCCATGGCTGACAAACTGGTGAACTGAATATTTATTTTATCCTATAAGAAAAATGAATTTTATTTCTAGCCTTTAAGTTACCTTTGAAATGTCCACTTAGAAAACTGTGTTATTATGACAGATCTAGAAATAGAGCTGAAAGCCTCCAATCCTCGTTTTTCCTTCCATCAGTGATCTGGGAAATGGCAATCCTGCATGCTGGCTGTCAATTAGCATTATCTCCATTTGTTTTAGATCCAGACAGGCGGTCAGTTTCCACCATGAATCTTTCGAAACATGTTGATCCCGTCATTAGCAAGCGGCTCTCCTCCTCATCTGCAACTTTACTAAATTCTCCAGATAGAGGTACAGTCAAAAGGAAAACAAAAAAGTGTTCTGTTATTTACTTAATGCTTTTTTTTCTGGATGTTTACGGATAAAAATAAGCATCTGAAGTTGCTTTCCCTACGTTTCTTAAATAGGAAGAAAAAACTTCAGAGTAAAAAAGCAATAAACGGCTGAACAGCATTTTCCTTGCGACAAGAACATTTCTCATTTTAGAACTTGGCTGAATGATTGCATTTAGCAGTGATGAAAGCGGTGCTTCTCTCAACTTTTTAGTAAATGAGGTTACAGCTCCAGAAATCACCCACTTATCCACCAAAGTGCATATAATCTTTGTTATGAACATTTCTTTACTTCAATCATACTGTCTTTGGCTTTTCATCTGTACTTTGGAAATTCCAGGCTTTGACTTTCTAAAAATTTTAAAGTGATTCATGTTGGTAGATTTCATTTTGCCAGTTTCTCATTTAACCAAACATTTCTTACTGCATTTCTTATGTGTACTATTGGTTTTTTGGTGTCCATTCATTTACTCTTGAGGGATTTGGCCTAACTTCAAGAATATCATTGTCATTATAGCCTCCTGAAACATTCAATATTCATAGTCCTACAGTTAACATCCTGTTTGAACTTTGAGTTTTATTCATCTCATGGATTTACAGTACATGAATGCTGAGTTATTTATAAAGTGAAAGTTTTATTTTACATATATCATAGAAGGAAAATTCAAGCTGTTAAGATAAGCTACTTGTTTTAATAACTAAGATGATTTTTAAATAAAACCAAAGAATTGTGCAATATAAAAACACTCTCTAAAAGTAACAAATTGTGGTTACTTTGAGTACTTTATTAAGAAACTGATTGGGAAAGTTTCAGTGTTTATAATCTTTAAAAGGAATGTAATGTGTGCATGTTCTGTATGTGTGTATGTATATTTTGTATTATATAAAAGTTACGGTGTCATTGTAATGTACAATGTTATGTAAGTGTTGATGTTATTTTATAACTAATCTCTTAAAGCAGTCAATCTTTGAACAACTTCCTATTCTTGCTTTTTAACGGAAACCATTCCTGTGTTTTTTAACCTCATTTGCCTTAATCATTGATATTAGTCAAATTAGGGACCTTAAATAAGTATTATGAATTAAAATTCGTTTCATAAATATCCTTTATTTTCAAACCTAGTCCCTCATACAAAATATAGCATGTGAATGCTGCTCTTAACAGTTGTTCCCT